TAAGACAAGAGTTCTGCATTTCAGGGTGAAGAATACACCGTTAAAAGACAAAAAATGGAAAGAGAAAGTTCAAAAGAATGCTCAGCTTTCTTTTTGTGGAGGAAGGGAAGCTTTTCATCAAGAAATCGTCCTTCGAGGAATTCAACCTTGTTTTATTCACGACGGAGCGCATGGTCTGTTTTGAAATGCAACCAAGGCAGTGAAGTTTTTGCTGAATTTTGAGGTACATTTTGCACTCTATGGCCGAGACAATTAGTTTTTGAAACGGAATTTATGTATTTTTAAATGTTTCATAGACGTTTTACAAATTTTTTCTTCGGCCCTAAAGAAAAATTACAAAATGTGCCCCGATTTGAGATGGATTTTGCATCAGTCAATTCCACCTGCGCCCAGCCCCCCCCCCCCGGGCTGACCCCCGGGGAATTAGCATTTTTTTTTGCCTTGGATGGCAAATTCCCGGGGGTGGGGACTCTTGAGCTGGCAAATCCCCCGGGGTAGGGAAGGAAAAAGAGGGCAAATGCCCCATCCTCCGTCAACAGTGCAACATTTTTTATTGATCGCACACTCAATAGTGCCATTTTAAAGTGCGATTTTTTTGTTTCAATTAACGTCTTCCTTTGCAATAGCGCTAGGATTCTAATTAAGACTTCACGCCGTGACGACATGTACCAGTTTATGGTTTTAGTATTGATGTAAAATTATTGACATTAAAATTAATAGATGTTATGAATAGATTTATAAATATGAAAGGATGTTCTTCAAATAATATCAACAGAAATTTGATTCAATAACCAAAAAACGTTGATTCACATCGATAGCTCCATGCAATTTCGCTATGTAATTCTGGCTTGATAAGCAATGAAGAAATGCATACATACATTTAAAATCGAGAACATGCCTTTATAACCCTCTACAATCTATTCCTGTCCTTGACAGATGAGCCAATCTGCTTTTTTTCCAGTAAAACCTTCTGTGTAGTTATATTCTGATAGGAAACCGCGTGCGTGTCAAAAGCTCGGGAATGGCCCGGGGGTTGGCAAATGCCCGGCCCCCGGGCAGTGCAAAATTTGCAAATGCCCCACCCCCGGGACTGACAAGGCGGGCAAATGCCCCGCAGTAGCCTGGGGGGGGGGGGGGGGGGGGCTGGGCGCAGGTGGAATTGACTGATGCATTTTGTGTTGAATTTTGCCATGTGCTCAGCCGATTTCACTTGCGTGAACGGATCCACGATCCAGATAGTGTTTTCCGAGTTGCTTTAAAGGATTAACTTTTTATGGATTTTGAATTCTTGGCTTGCACTGTCACGCAATGAAAAATAAAAATGCAAACCATTCAATACAGAAGGACTAGAATCTGGGAAATGAAAAAAGATAAATATACAAAAACCCCTGCCAAGAATCAGGTCTGTGAAATATTTCAAATGCGAGATATTGGGAAAAACGGTTTACCTACATTTATAAAGCTTTGTATGGAAACGACATGTTGGTGTCCCTTTCAGGAACACCAATATGGCCGCCGGATACCGACAAAAACATCTGTTTTCGAGTTTTCCTACTAATGCGTGAATTCTTCGCTTGAGGAACTCATAAAGATTACAGTAATATTTATTCTGAGACAGGGAATGTTTAGATTGCAAAATCTCCCCAAATCGGTAATGTTTTTAACCCACATAAGAGCTTTCCCGGCCGCCAGCTAAATGCCCCGTAACGCAAAAGCCTGGAAATTCAAGCGTCCTCTCTCGCAAAACGAAGAACCCTTTCCAACCAAAAATTTGTGTATGTAAAGATGTTTAGGTACTGTAATACCTCGTGAAAGTAGAAACTCAGAAGAATCGATAGTTTCTTAGTTTGATTTTTGGTGACGTCACGTACAACCCAAGAATAAAAATTTTCAAGAAACGGCTTCTCTGTTTATTGTTTTGAGTTTGTTCATTCATACAATTAGCTCAAAACACGATCGTGACTACAACATCCAAGCTGAATTTAATCTTAAATGCTTCTCACATTCATCACACGCATCTCTTTTTGCGAAGATGTCAGGTTCAAGTTTTGGACACTCTTCGATACGCAGCTATTGAATTTTATTCGAAAATATTGTTTACCGTTTATTCTAGACTTTTAATATAAGAATTTTAAAAACCTATTTGAAGTATAAGTTTACTGTGCAGATGGTCAACGAGGCATCGTTTTTTGAAGTCACAACTTCAAGAAGTTGCGAGGACGTCAATGGGTTTCATAATGTTACGTTTGGCCCGGGTGGTAAGGCAATAATATATTTCTGCTCAGTGTTTCGTTACGATTCCTGGTTTCAACCTTTGAAAGCTTTCTCGGCTTTTGGGAGTTTTTCCCCCGTTTGTCGGTCGGCCATTTTTTTTAAGCGTGCGCGGGAACCTGAAGTAAAATTACGTCACGTTGTTTACGAAGTTTGATTGCTCAGTTATCTCTACTTCTCGTTCCAAATATGGTACTTTTGAAAATGAATAATCACGAGCATCGGACAAAGCAAACATATGAGAGTTACACGTTTCAACCCCTTATGAGTTTCTGCTTTTATAAAGCACTGGGGGCAAATCGATGCGATGAGAAAGGAACTGAGTCAGAAAGTTCCAGAAAAGATATTGTGCTCGTAAGATTTCTGAGCCATGCAGGTAACAGATATAATGTTTGGATATATAGGAGTCCGGCATATCCTGTCAACATTCTGTATAATCATTACAGCCTATATGTATAATATAATAAGTGGCAAACTATAACAGTATACTCTATCTGATATTATACTTCCTAAATTAATCGCGTAGTCAATTCCGAGGTTGTCCCAAGACCTGAATTTGCTTTAAAGGTATAAAGAATAAGGTTTTATTAGTATTTAACTCTTTGAAACCAAAGGAAGTTCATTTACGCTATTTTGTTAAGCGTAACGAAAAAAAAAGAATTATCTGATACCTGTAAAAAATCCAAAACTTAGCCTTTGACCGTAAAACCACCACCCCACTGAAGTCTCTCTTCACTGGCGATAACGAAAAGAGAGGATATCTTCTCTTGGTAAGGGAGGGGAGGGTAATTTTTTGACAAAACCGGGAGTTTCTAGTGATCAAATCTTTTTCTGATAAGACTTATGAAACATGGCGGAGATTTGTATCTAGAAATGGGGAAATTATGAATTTCAACAATGAAAAACTGCCGCATCCCCAGGCAAACTTTTGATGACAAATACCCCACCGTGCCGTGGGAACACACGCTTTGACGAATGCCTGATAAATGCACTGGCTGGAGGATGACCCTTCTATAGGGGCGAGAATAGTTGTAAACAGATAAGTGATTAGCTGACCACGTCAACGAAAAGGATTCTAGATTCGGCTCCTTTGGTTCACCAGTAATCCGCATCTCAAACGTTTCCTCACTCACGGTTTCCAAGTTGTACGTACCATGCTCAGGGCCGTAGCCAGGAAGAAACTACAACCGAGGCGAACGCACGGTCCGTTGTACGAAATCAGCCGTATGAAATCTTCTAATATTATCAGTCTGATAAAAAAAATAAAAATCGACAGTATTTGATAAAATTTTACCGAGGCGAGTGCCTCGGTTCGCCTCATACTTGCTACGGCGGTGATGCTGATATATATTTTTGTTTTGATTTCTTTTGCTTTTGATTATATTTTCCATTTGAATTAAGTTTAATTAATTTTAAAATAATCGGCTTATGTCTTTTACAAATTCTTGCCACTTCGATTTCATTTTTCTATGGCAATCCTAGGCCACTATAAAAAATATCGGCATTTAGCGTCCACACGAATTCGGATTCATAGCCTATTGAAAAATTTCCACTCTGAAGAGCAGATTATGAAAAAGTTACGGATTCTAGGATTCGTATGCCGAATTCCACCGGATACGTGTGGATATTAAAAAATATCCGGATATGTGTGGACAGGCCTACAAGTTAATGTGGTTTTCTCAAAGGTCTTTGGTGCCCTCTCCAAGGGATTGTAGTCTATAGCAAAGTTAGACCATGCTGATATACATTTTTGTTTTGATTTCTTTTTCTTTTAATTGTATTTTCCATTTGATTTAAGCTTAATTAATTTTTCAATTTCTTTTGATTGATTTTAAAATGATCGGCTTACGTTTTTCACAAATTTTTGTAAGTTCAATTTCATTTTGCTATGGCAATCCTAGGCTACTATACCCTATGTAGGGGGTAAAGATAGGTAGGGTTACCCTGTTAACAAGCGAGTCTACCTTTTATGCTTAATTGATGGCTCCCCATGTGTTACCACACAAAGATGTCGACCCAAATTATCCCGCAAACGGAGCTGGAACAAAACAACTTTTCACTGAGTTAGTCTCAAAATCTACATATTTACACTAAAAAGATGGGGGATAAATTGACCACAGTAGTGGCAGGCGCGGATCCACACCGGCTTCCAGCGTTTTACGGAAATCGGTCAGGTTTTTCATAATAAATATATTTTCAACAAAAATTAAATAAAACACTTTCCAAAATGAACTCTGGCCAATATCCCGTCCAAATGACTCGGAAACCGATGCAGGAAAGAGGACTTAAAGGAGTTAAAAATCCAAAAACTCCCCTGGGGGAGCCTGCCACTGGACCCTCTAGAAGCTTGCGCCTTCGGCGCTCGTTTAGGAAATCAGTCAGTATTTATCCTAGATCCGCGCCTGAGTGGGGTTGGAAAAAAAATTTTCAAACTACCGGTAAGTCATTATTCCCCATTATTCCCACTTTTTCTAGTATGCAGCATTAAAAGTGTAGTGGTGAGTGCCAGGAATGAATTGAAAATGATTCCAATAATGCAATTCATTTCCATGTAAAAAGAAAGGTCTTAGAGTGTAACCAGTTTGACCTTCGCTTATTTGAAACTCATGTCTGAGGCGTGCTAATCTTAATTTTATTGTGCCTATCGAAACAACACATTTGACGAGTCAGTGACCACCTGACAAAAAAGATAAACTATTTGTGGTTGTTAAATCGATAACTGTTTTTTTTTTCCATCGACAGGAAATGACGAAGGAAAAGATGTTCAGATCCTTGTTTCTCCTTCCAGTTTTTCTCCTGCTGTTCACTGTTTTCATAGCTGGCGCACAAGGTAATAGGTCGCTTTCAGACAATGCAGTTGACGAATTATTCTTGCTCGCAAATGTTGCTTATTCCATTATTCCCGGAGTAATTATTATTGTTCCGTTTAAAACAGTACGATTTCTTGACCAATTTCAGAAACAGTAAACCCTTTCGGCAAACTTTAGCTTTCCCCGGGTTAACGAAAATTTCTGGACTCGGGCAACTGATTTAAACTAAGATTATGTTAAACTATATGACGATAATCCGTGATTAGATTATGGTCACACTTTGCCACTTTTCACGACACTTTTAAAGGGACGGTCCACAGGAAAAGCGATAGGGGATAAGTATGCACGATATTTTTTTTGTGTTGACCAATATGACGATAATCCGTGATTAGATTATATATGGTCAACTTTTGAACTACAGCTGGGTGAAGTCTTACTCAGTTTAATTGTTCGTGAATTAAAATTTTCTTTAACTGACTGTTCAATACCGAATAAAAAATTTTCCCCAAAAGGAAGATGTTAGGATCGGGAGAGTGTAACAGCCACTCATTCATGATCGTTTCTCAAGGAAATCGTTATTCCATTATTCCTACCCCAAAAAGGTGATTCAGTTATTCTGTTATTCTACCTAAAAGTAAACCAAGATGCACCCACTTTTGAATTGGCGATTTTCCATTATAAATAATGCGATCACGCTTCAAATGAATTTTGAATTTTTCAACTCTACGAAACCTACGCTGTCAGTTGTCATTCAATGGTTTGTTCGCGTAGGTCGTATCTCGGATAAATAGGCTCTTGCAGCAAGGTCGACCGAAAACTATCTAATGAACCGCAGTTTTTTTGTGATAATGCATTTCTGATCAATTTGAAAATCGAATTTTTCACAGTTTTCGATGAAGGAACGCCTTAAGTTCCCTTTACTTTGTGGACTTTGCACTGACTCCTCCGTTCCACCAACCTTGTCGAACAATTCATGACATGGTGTAAAGGGTAAGAACAATGTGCCTTGCAATCCAGTAAAATGTAGAGATCTTATCTTCAAAAGGAAAGGCAGGAGCTTTCTATATAACCCCGCATCTGACATTCCTAAATGTAGTAGTCTTGTTCTACTGGCCCCGGTTGTTCAAACGTTGGATAGCGCTATCCACCGGATAAATCACTGCTACGTTTAAGTGGTTTTGAACTATATTCTCGTTGGGTGCCCCTGAAATTGAAACAGGGTAAGAAATAAAATGGCCCTTATGACGTCTATTTAGCAAAGTCTGTATAATATTAAGATCAGGTTCACATGCTAAACCATAGATAAAATGCGGCAAAACTAGGAAAGTGAACAAGTCACCTATTTCGGCTTGTGAATAAGGGTCCTAAGAACATGTAGGACATTTGTTAGCTTTAATTAATTTATGATTACCATGCGCCCTAAACTTGCAATCACTCTCTGGAACGTAACAACCAGGCCCCGGTTGTTCAAACGTCGGATAGCGCTATCCACCGGATAAATCACTATCCAGCGGATAGCGTATTGTTGAACGTATTTTAGTATTTGAATGGTACTTATAGGGATATTTTCATCCCCTGAAAATTTTTCATCTGTTCGGATTTCCTAGCTGAAAGTCTAGTGATGCGAAAATTATAGGGATCAAAACTTACCTTTTCGAAAATTTCAGCCAGAAAAAAGGCTCCCGAAAATTCTAGGTGACCTTTTTAGGGTAAAAATCCGTTTAAAATGGGCAATTATACCTTTTTTTAGATGTTCGAAAATCCTAGGAGAGGCAAGCAAGCAAGAAATTTTACAACAAATGTTCCGAAAATTCTAGATCTCAAATCATCTTACGAAGAGATATTCTCCAAAAATTGTCGTTGGGTGCCCCCGCAATTTAGGATCACTTAGAGAAGTAAGTCTGTCCCTAAAGGTCCCAAAGGAGTCCTCACGTTTGAGTCCCTAAATAGACAAAATTTTTCCTAATAGTCCAACTGTTCCCAACAACGCCGCTTTCTGGATCACTTCAAGTCTGATGGTAACTTTAAGCTTTCCCGTGTATTTCCCAAACATAACGTATACAGCTCTCAATGCCTCAACACAATTGGCCCAACCGTCACTTTCTTCATCTTCCACAACTTTACTATTTCTTCTCGAAGAAATTGGTACTTCTCTATTTTCTCCAGTTCTTTGTCTTTTACTCGTGCATCTCCAGGGATAGCGATCTTTATGATCTTAGCCACTTTTGCCTGCTTATCAACAAGGATGATGTTTGGCCTTCTAGCTTCAACCATCCTATCACACTGTACACTGAAATCCCACAGAACTTGTATTTTCTACCACTTGCTCTGGAGTGTGTTTGTACCCGGGGGGTACTCCCTTACAAGAGCCTAATGGGGATGTGCCGCTGGGTGGGGTCGCATTTTCACGACTGGAGTGACTATAATGGGGTCGCATTTTCAATAGAGTTACTAGAATGGGGTCGCAAATTCTCGAATTTTGGGGGTAAGTAGGGAATCAAAATGGGAAGATTCTCAGTTAAAAAGATCAGAAAGTTGTTTATTAAATTGAACAATAAGCTTGCATTGACCGCATTGCATTCCGTTCTTGAAACCACAACTTAAATATTAACCAGTTACTCAATAGCACAAAACCACGGGTCCAGAACAAAGTCCACCGAAACATCAGTGCTACGGCATTTACTTTTCTACTGGATTGTTATCGTCCATCGAAGATAATACAACGTGGATCTTCTTTTGTATTAGCGAGCGTTTGATCTCTTTTGCTTGGGACTTGTCTGCTTTGAATGTGACATTTACAGGAACATTTATACCACCTCCAATACGCCAGCGACCTTTGACATCATCATACGGCTCTCCGGTAACAACGCTATCAGGTAAGACATATCGAAGTATAATTAATCCCTAGTTTTATTGGTTATTACGCTAAAGAGGATTGGCAAGGAAGATGCATAAATAGAAAGTGATTAAGTTGGGATCGCAAAAATTACATTTTCCAAAAAGTGACTAAGATGGGGTCTATAATTGGCCAAAAAATAGACTAAAATGGGGTGGGGGCTCTGAGAGGCCAGCGGCACATACCCAGAAAACATTAACCCAAGTACCCCCCCCGGGGTTTGTACCACTGATCTGCCCATTCCAGTTCGGCCTTCCCACACATACCGCGCCACGCTGTCATGTCGCCTCTTGTAATCAAACATTGGGCTAACATGCTGCATTCACTTTCTCTCTGCACATCCTACACATAGGTGATTCTAAGGGTTTTGTCAATGTTAAAATTGATATAGTTAGTTATTAAAGCTTGTTCTTGTGCGTACAGATGAAAGCTTCTGTACATCCCTTGAGGTCTCCCTTCCGCAACCAATCAGGGGCGTAGTGTCCTTTACGCAAATACGTTGTAAGTAAAAGTCATTTGAAGAACAGCTTTAGTAGTGGAATGTGATAAATGCGAAACATAATTGAAATGTTTGCCTTCAGGCGATCCCACAATCCATTGCGTATTCATGAAAAACGGAGGGGGACTGGGGAAATTCAAGCCAACACAGTTTTTAGCGTTCAACAAACGTGCAAGGCCACAAAGAATCGACCCTGACTGATTATCATTCCTTTCAGGATTAATCTGGAAAGTTTCCCCATTCAAAAGCTATTCATTTTTGTAGTTTTCTCTCTCTCTTATAATGTCGAAAAGTCTATCAAAGACTGCTCAACTGGGAACTGCCCTTTAGCAAGAGATTACAAGACGGCTGCACCGCTGGTCAATCAGGCTACCTGACGATACCCTTCCAGAGACTCTTGTGGAAGCACTTGATCAAACCAATGCCACTTTCTATCCAGTAAGACACTTCTTACTTACCCTATTTCGGCGTGCGTTGCTAAGTGCAGTTTCAGCTCGATGAAAAGAATAAAGACTTCACTATACGTAATACGATGACAGATGAGCGCCTTTCATCCTTGGCGATTTTACATTGTACATTAACACAAAGATGTTTATGCTGATAACGTCATTAAACTTGCGCAACAAAAGGGGGCGTCTTTTTTTGCTTGTAAACATTCAAGTACCAGCTCAAAGAAGAACGTTTCAGAGCTTTTTTTAAATATCACGTTACCATAAGATAAGATAAGATGCTTTATTTTAAGTGGCGCATACTCTTAGCTACATGGGTTGGTTAAAAAAGAGAACTTGACCTGCTAATTCACGGGTATGCCACAGTAAATGAAACATTATGGAAATAAAAATGATTAAAACACTATGAAAGCTATTTACAATTAAAGTTAAGTTATCATACATAAAATGCTTTTAAATTGATTATTTACTAAATTGTTTAAAAAGGCGATTCGTCGATACTCAAATTCTATTGTACACAAACCTGTACACTGCCAAAATATGTATTAAAGGAAAGCAAAAACGTTATTTTGCGACGTTTTTGAGATCATATGGACCCGTGTGCGTACTTGCCAAAAAGGTCACGCTACGCCCCTGCCAATGCCATGTTTTCTCCCAATTCCCAATATGTCGCTAACATATATATCGTCGTCGTCGTCGTCGTCGTCGTCATTATTCTCCACTCATTTTTTCATGTTACATGTGAAATTATCCCTTTCTTTTTGGCGTAGAGAAAAACTTTAGGGAAATGCGAATTAAACTGACAAACAATTTACAACCAACAAATTCTGGTAAAAAAAACCCTGTGAAATCGTCAAACTAATCGAAATGTGTTGTGCCAATTTTTTTCCGGCAGCGGGTAAAAGACCGATTTCCCCAAAAAGGTATCAAAAGATGATTGGAGCAGGGTTTTCTACAAACTGGCTCAAATCAAAGGAGCCGCTGAAGGAGTACTCTGTGCAAAACATCAAGGATGTAAACGAAAAAGGGTTTACAAACTTGAGACTTCGATGTCGTGCAGATTTGTATTCATACAACTACTCCGCGGTCAACTTCACTTGGTTTCTTGGTAATCTGACGACCATTGTCGACGACTGTCTGAAACACAAGGTTATTCCGATAATCTCATGGATTCATCACGAGGCAGAGGTCTGTGCAGCTGAAAACGACTACACAGCTTACGTAAATTGGTGGACGGCAGTGGCACGGCAGTTAAAAGACAGGGACTTTAAACTGAGTTTTAATCTCTTTACAGAGCTTGGAATAGGCACTTGTCCGAAAACTACCAACAGTGACGAGAGCCTTCGCAAAAGGAACGACAAATACACCCGATGGACTAAAGATGCGATATATGCGATCCGTCAGACGGGTGGCAAGAACGCTAAGCGAATACTGATTCTGGGGTCGCCGGGAAAAACAGCTAAGAACTTGAATGAAATCAACCAATCAATTTATGAACATGACAAGTATCTGATGGCTGAGTGGCACATTTATGCCTCGGGGCCGAACAAAGAGCCTGGGTCACAGAAATTCTGGGCTGGAGATGGAACAGCCCAAGATAGCAAGAAAGGCGCTACAGGTCAAGACAATGTTAAGAAAGCTATCAACTACGCAACCGAATTCCAAAAAAATGCAAATAATAGTCTGCTGACGTATCTGGGTGCGTGGATGCCACAAGATAACCAATACGGAAAAATAACGCAAGAAGAAGCCATTAACTTTGCCCGCTTCTTTGTAACTGAGCTGGGCAATGTAGGCATACCATGGTCGATGAACGTTTTGGATCGTTACTATGACACCGAAGAAAGCAGATGGCTGAGAGAGAAACAGAACATTTCAGGTCAAATTTTAAATATGTACAGGGTGTTGGAGAAAATTATTGAAGTAATGCCAAAAAGGTTAACTTAAGCTCGGCCGTTTAACACTTAAAGTAACTGAGAACGTTTACGTAACTTTTTGTCTTGAGGGTTGTCGGCATTTTATGTTCAGTTTTCCCACGATATTCAGTTTCTAGATTAGCCTGGATCTTCTTATCCACTAATTGCGAACTAGAGTTTTCATACAATTTAAGTAGGCCGACAAAAAATAGATCATACCTATTTCGAAGTGTGATAATAAACTGGAGACTGCCGATTGCAACAGACTTGATAGTGGGTTAAAACTATAGGAAGGGAATAATCCGAACTTCTTATTGAAGGAGTCATATTTTAGATTGAAAGCACTTGAATTTCATTAAATGGTTCGCTACTATATTTTGTGTTTTCTTTTATTGAACTTAAAAATGACGTGTTAAAACGTTACATTCTTAAGTGGAACCACGCACCGCAAGCAAGTGGCTTCCGCAAAGTTTGTGTTTTTGAGGGCTATCAAGAAAACTAAGTAAAAATAAAAAAAACAACAACAAGAACAACAACAACAACAAAACAAAACAAAGCAAACAAGAAAGAAAGAGCAGTTTGTAATACAAAGATGGAGTTTGTTTCATCCCCAAATAGGGTTCGAGTTACCAAACTACTTCTCCGTTGTCGTAACATTTTCAATTTAGGCCGAGTTTTGCAATTACACCTGCTGTATCCAGAAAAGCTTTATCTAGTGAGCGATTCACTTAATTGTATTCGATCCTCGAGATGCGGATTCGACATGAATTCGCGATCGGAGATGCTTCCTCAAGGAAGATGAATGTGTGAAACACTTATTGCAGTGCTCACAAGCGTAAGGCTTTTCTCCAGTATGGATCCGTTCGTGCGATTTGCGCTCTGATGGCATGTAAAAGGCTTTCTCGCAGAACTTGCATGTATAAGCCTTCTGCCCGCTATGTGTTTGTTCATGGCGCTTTAAGGCTGATGCTTGCCTGAAGCACTTTTCACAATACTTGCATGCATATGGCTTGGCCCCCGTGTGCGTTAGTTCGTGTTTTTTACAAGTTGATGAATGGGTGAAACACTTGTGGCAGAACTTGCATAAAAAGGGCTTCAATCCAGTGTGCGTACGCTCGTGATCCCTGCAGTTTGTTAAATTAGTAAATCCCTTATTACAGTACAAGCAGATATAAGGCTTAACTATGTCAGCACCATGTGCTTGTTGATGGGTACGGAGTTGGAATAGTCTAATAAAACGCTTACCACACTGCTTACAAGCAAAAGGCTTTTCGCCACTGTGAACAAGTTCGTGCCGTTTGAGATGAGATGAGTAGCTAAACCTTTTATCGCACTGTTTACACGCATGAGGCTTATTCCCAGTATGAGTCTGCTCATGAATCTTGCAGTGTGACCTTTGGCTAAAGGTTTTATCGCAGTATTGACATGCATGAAGTTTTTCCTGGCTGTGCGTCCGTTCGTGTCGCTTGCAAACTGAACTTCGAGTAAAGGATTTGTCACAGAACTTACACGAGTAGGACTTTTCATCGGCATGTGAGTTCAGTTCATGTACTTTGCATTCCGATTGCCCACAAGTATAACATGCTTCTTTCTTCAGCAGGGTTTCATTCATGTGTCCTGTTTCCTGTATTTCCATGTTTCTTGATGGGTTTTTCTGCGGTACTGCACTCTGTACTTTTATTCCTTCGCGGCAAGAAGAAAGGAATTATTATACTATTCTATAATGATTTACACCGCTAGCAGACTTCTCCTTTTTAAAGGGTATATGTTACGAGGATAAAGTAAAAACCCATGAATAAGAACATGGTTTTTGGAAGCCATTTAGGCTTCCTCCATGCAAGAACCTGTTTAGCGTAAAATTTTAAACAGATTATTTTCTAAAAGGTAAGGGGCAAATTAGATAAGTCAACACTAAGGATCCTCTTTGGAGACAAACTGCAATGTAATGGTACGCAGCTTTAAGAAGGTATAACCCGGATACCACTAAATACTCTTAGCTACAATTTAATTATTTTCTTCATAAAATAAGAACCTAAATAGCCTAAACTTGTGTTGATTACCATTAATGGAAGAACCTGTTCAGCCTAACTTGGGAAAATGCAGGTTCTTACTCTCGCATTTTTATCTGTATTGCCTTTTTTTAGGTTAATTGTGTGCTGAAGTCATTTCTTATTGCCTTTACCCATACAAAAAATGCCCCGGAACAAACAACAAATTTTTCCTTTGCGTGTAAATATGGAATAAAGCGTTGTTGTATTAAAAAAAAAGCATAAAAAAAACAATCAAGGTAACGCTAATAACCTTGATCTTTCAATGCACGGAGTCTGAGTGTCCTGTGATCTTTGGTCATATCACAGTCACACTAACTGACTGGCTAGGGCACATTCCATGTTTAACCTCCACCCTAGCACTCCCTCTTGACAAGGACTGCAAGTTTTAAATCAGGATGGAAACAAAAAGCCCAAACTCTACATGAGCCACAGGGATA